CCCAAAGAAGCAGGTACCACACAGTTCCCATCATAAGCAAAAGTGAGTTTTACAGGGATCTAGACTAGGTTGCTCCATGTCAAATCTTCACAAAATCTTTATAAGAACATGATTATCACACCAGAAAAGGGTTACTTAACAACTCTGAAACTAAACTCAAATGAAAACCTCAAATTCCAGAAAATCTCATCCTGGCACATGCTGGCTTGCTCACAATATCTTGGCTCCCACCCCAGGTTAGACCAGATTCAAATTTACAGGACTTTCTCAGACGGTTCCCTATTTTTTGAGACTGGTACATCCTCATTGTCAACCACCTGCCAAAGTTTGTTAAGCAGCAGCCACACATCAGGTCTAGAGCTACCTAAGTGAGCCCAGGTCAAAGGTGTACCAAGAAGGTGGTGAGAGCGGATTATGTGCATCCTGCCAGCTGAGCAGCTGTGGGTGAATGGGATGCACAGACTTGAACTGATGGAAAATACGACTGTTCTTCATCATTAAACGAGCTGCTTGGGCCTACAGACGGTGACACATTCAGGACTTTTGAAAGAGGCAATTTCATACTCATCAAACTCATTTTTTACTACTCTTATTTTCTTTTTCTTTTTGGTTGATAGCCTTTAGCCTGTTCTCTTAACTAGAAGAGTATCTGCCAGCATGAAAGTCAACGGAACTCACGGGAGACAAAAGACCTTCTTGGTTTGATTGCTCCTAATAAACATCAGTGCTTCCAGACCACATAATGTCATAGAATTATTTGTAATGCTTCTTTAAAAGGGTGACAGGGTTCAGAAATGAACTGCACATGGTAAGATGAGCCTCCCAGGGGTTGTCCCTGAAAAAATGAGCTGCAAGGCTTTGGGAGTGGTGGTGGTTTCCGGCCATTAGCATCACTAATCAAGGCCAGCTTTGCATTTATGGGAATCTACACAAATCAGGATGATACATGCTATGTTCACTCAAGCAACCCTGCCTGGTTTCCTCAAGCTTATGCTGAAACAAAGCTTCACCTCAATTATCTTGGGTTGGAATGCTTCATTATTTTGATATATCCTTGAGAGACAGACTGCATGAAGTAGAGGCATCAGGTCCATGGGTCACAGAATCATACTTAGTGCTTCATGCCCACATAAAGCAATTACTGTCGGCTCTCAATTAACCTCGTTATTGGAGGAAGCATTAGTGGAGAAAATACAAGTCCTAGTAACCTACCCGGGTCTTTCTTGCTGCCACAGTTGCAGCTGAGGTGAGAGAGACAGAAGTAATGGAAATGTCCAGAAAGCTCAGGGGGGAGAGGTGTCTTTGGGAAACGCTGAGCAGAAGTGATACATTCAGCTCCCCTTCTGCCCTCTTTCCAGGCCCACTGCCTTTTTGCCTTGTGTACTAAAAGTCCCTTCAATTTCATGCCCAACTCTTTGGAACCCTATGGACTATAGGCTGCCAGGATCCTATCCTCTGTCCATGGGATTCTCTAGTCAAGAATACCAGAGTGGCTTGTCATGTCCTTCTCCAAGGGATCTTCTCAACCCGGGAATCGAACACACGTCTCTTATGTCTTCTGCATTGTCAAGTGGGTTCTTTGCCACTACCACCACCAGGGAAGCCCTTTTGCCCTGCACCAAGAAGCAAAAGTGACATTGCTTTCCCCTTCAAACTTGGGGTTGACAAAAGTGTGGCGCTGAGAAAGCCTGGAGAAGGCAGCAGAGAAGGTCCTCTGTGAGGCTGGCAGGCAGAGCCTGGAGGTCCCTGGGGACTGACCACAGATTTCTAAGTGGAGTCTCTGCATCTTCCTTCTTCAGAGGCTTAAGCCACATCCCAGGCTTTCTGGGCACAGGGAAAGTGCTGGGATTTGCCTTTTAGTATTTTACTGTGCCAACCAACATGATACAGGTGTTCAATTACAAATGTTATAACCAATCATTTGCGCACATAGGCATTCTTACACTACAGATTCCTACAAGTCCTGGGCATCACTGCTATTTCCATCTGTCTGATGTAATGAACCCTTTGGGCTGGCTGCCTCCCTCTCAGGCCAGGAGCTACAGGAAGAGTAAAGATGACACCTCTTCTAGCGATTCCCAGAGACACTGCTTCAGGAAGGGCTCATATACTACCAAGGAAGAAAGTCTTAAGTGATGAAACTAATCTGGAATTCCAGATCCTAATGAGCAGCTGGGGGAGATATAGAAGGGCAGGGGAACCTCTGAAGTCACAGCAGAGACTAGGGCTCATCTGAAAGGAAAGCTGCGGAGTAGAGAGAAAGACAAGGGAAATATCATGACACTGTATGTTTACATGAAAAAAACTGGATAAAAATGATTGTTATTGTTTCATCGCTCAGTTGTGTCCGACCCTTTGTAACCCCATGAACTGCAGCACGCCAGGCTTCCCTGTCCTTCACTGCCTCCTGGAATTTGTTCAAACTCATGTCCATTGAGTTTAAAATTATATAAAAATGGTTATAAAGAGTCAAATTCATATCCTCTTTAAATATGACTTTATAATAAAATTAGTGGAATCTAGGAAGAAGGCATTTATCAGTCTTTTTTTTTTTTTTTTTTGGCCTCAGAATGAATTTCTGTGTGTTAGAGTGAGAAATCAGGTAAACAGACACAAAAAATCAAATGACAGAGTAAGAAACAATGGAAAACGCAAGATGATTACAGGCCAGGATTCTTCCTTATATTAAAAAGAGAGACAGGAAGAGAAAAAGAGAGGGGCAGGAGGAGAGGGAGGCTCCATAAAGCTCAGGAAAAATAGAATGCTAGCGACTATAAAAAGGAAAGTGGCTCATTTTAACAGGGAAAATTATGACCCAAATATTGACTATAAAATATCAGTGGGCAAGAAAAAAATAAGAGAGAAATCAGTGAAATGGCACATTTCTGATTCATTATTTATTCTTTATATTCCTCTGTGAAGTTCATTGGCTAGGAAAGGTGCATACCTTATGTAATGAAAATATGATATTATGATTTTTGGCTCAAAAAGGAGCATAATAAAGGCAGTATGATGTCTCCTCTCTCTTTTAAAACACAGAGAAAACAACAAACATAGTGAAACATGGGAGAAAATATTGGATGTACTCAAATCAAACAAACAAGCAAACAAAAAGACTGCCATTCTTTTTACAAATCACAAAGCATGCATGGACTAAATTCAGGAAGGATACTGAAAGTGGACAAATATCTCAAGTCTCGAGCAGGATAAAATGTTTTAGGCTAAAGTGATGTCATAAATGCCTAGAGGGCATATGCAATGAGCCTTTGATCAGAGTAGCAAAACACGCAACTTAAGCTCATAGAGACACAACCTGACACCATGTAACAGAAGCGGGCAGAGCAAAGAGGAAAGGATAAAATTGTATTTCTATCTGACCTTGTATTGTGTCACTACTGTATTCCTTCTAACCAAGGAGGAGCTCCAGAATCACTGACATGCCTATAGAAATTCCCAGGGAGTAAACTGGAAAAGGGAATGCCTACCCACTACAGTATTCTTGCCTGGAGAACTTGGTGGATAGGTCCATGGGGTTGCAAAGAGTCAGACATGATTGAGTGACTGACACTTTCACTTCAAGCAGGTAAAAAGTAACAGAAAACACACAACCTTGGGTTTTCTAGATAATTCTTTCAAGTAGAAAGTGTAGGTCTTTACAGTTGATGGCAATGGAAATTTTCTCTTAGATAAGTATTCTCATACAAGGTGTTTGAATTTTATAAGGCGAGTCTAAAGAAGGAAATGTTAAATAATATATAAGGTATTTAACCCTGTTATGTTAAGCAACCGAGTTTGAGAGATCTGCTAGGTGGCTTTAACCTGAGCATCCATCTAGATTTTCAGAGGGTAAGGATGAATAAGGAGACATATGACCAGATCATACTACTTTCCTGGTCCTGTTGTTAAGAGCCAAGGGTTACTTCATTCCAAGAAGACACAGCTCAGCATGTACAAAAAGCAATTCAGTGATAGTCTTGTTGCACACTAGCTGGTCTTAGAACAAATGCATAAAGGCTTCAGCCAGGTATAAATGTGGCAAATATGAGTAAGAGCATTGGAAGGATTTAAAAAGCAACTTTCTGACTTTGCCTACAAAGGCCCTTGGACTTGGTACACGGGTTTCTGTTTCTCCACCCGATTTCTATCAGGTGGCCGACGAAAGTTCTGTATTTGAATTACACAAAACGCTCTTACTTGTTATCACAATTTACAAGTGTTCTCTCATTCTTCTCCTGGCTCTTCACAGGTTAAAATCTAAGAATCTCATGGTGCCCTGGCCCTCTAGGTAGAGATGATGGGTGATTAACAGATCAGTGAAGGAAGTTAAGCTCAGGAGGGAATCTAACCGAAAACAATGGAAATCAATGAAGCCAGAGTAGACCCAAACATTAAGCGGCATTTACTTAAGTGATATTAGCTAACGGCTCCACTGAGTAAGTGAAGAAGTGTGAGCTATTACTGACTTCCTCTCCCAAGTTCAAAAATACAAGAATGATCACAGACCCATACATTTCAAGTCTGGGCTGCTTAAGAAACCATTACAGGTTGAACTGTGTCCCCCTAAACTTCCTATGCTGAACTCCTAACTCTCAGTATCTTGGAACGTGATCGTATTCAGAGGCAATGTCTTTAACGAGGCAAGTGAGATTAAACGATGTCTTTGAGGGCCCCTGATTCAGTCTGACTGTGTCCTTCTAAGAAGAGGAGACTGGGACAGAGATACAGAGGAAAAATCATGTGAAGATACAGGTGAAGGAGGCCGTTTGCAAGCCAAGGAGAGAGACCTCTGGAGAAATCAATCCTGCGGACACCTGGATACCAGGCTTGCAGCCTCTAGAAATGGGAAAAACTAAATTTCTATTGTTTAAGCCACTCAGTCTGTGCTGCTTTGCTATGGCAGCCCCAGTGCAGAAGCCTATAATGAGCCCTGTTTTCCCTCTGAGAAGTCTAATATAAGACCCATTTCTTTTGTGGTTGAATGCAATTTACATCATACTCACCACCCCAACAGGAAAGGCCAATACAGCCAGCATCCAGTCCCGGAGAGAGATGAGCTTCTTGAGCTGTCTTTCCTGTTCTTGGTTCCCACTTCCTCTAGTCAGAAGACTGGAAAGATCAGTCAGCACACAGATGCCAAAAAAGACAGCTTGGATAACCTGGAGGGAGACAATGATTGGTAGTAAGTCAATAAGATAGAAAGAGACCCAACTTTGAGAATAGCAAATCAGACTTTGCAACATGACATAGGGTAAGAGAGGATGAGAAGCACATTTAAAGACCTGGCCCTGAAAAAAGAGGAAGACTCAGATATTTACAGCTTGCTATCATAGGTGAGAAAATCCATCTTAAAACACTACTTCCATTTTTGCTAAGGACAAATGCAAAACATGCGCGGGCAGAAACTGGTATCAGTTCTCAAAATGACATATCCCATATTTTAAAACATCACATCTGTGGTTTAGTAATATTGACTAGTGCAATTTAACAAACATCTAAAGAGTGCAAAGAAAAAGATAAATAAAAAGATCAATAATAAATGAGACAATTAAGTCTGAATGTGAAGAAACCTTCCTACGATTTAATCTCTTAGGTCAAAATTTTTTCTACCAAAGGAAGTGGTAGAAAGCTTCTAGTCCTTGAGTCAAAGAGAAATCAACTGAATGCAATCATCAAGATTGAAGCAGAGCAATTTTTTGTTGTCAAACTTGAACTAAATGACCTCCATCTGAGTCTTCAATCTTTATGAAATAAGATCTTCCCGAAGTAAGGTAAACTTAGTCACACATTTTCCCCCAAAATGTACAACAACTTGTACATTCCAAAATCAATTACAAATTGAATTACTTACATAGCTATGTTTACTTGGACCATCACAGGGAACACTGAAATGCTAGAGCCCAGATATTCATGAAATTCCTAAAGTGAGGGTAAAAGTGTTGGTGATCCAGAGCTACGAGTGAAGGCAAGCAGAATACTGTAACATAACTTGGCAGATGGTAATTCTAATTATGCAAAGGACAGAAAATATATTCCCTGGGCTCAAAGTCATACCCATTTAGCACCAAGAACAGATTCAGGGGAATTTTTCTAGTTCCATTTACAAGAAATAATTTACTGATGATGTATTTGTACAAGATACAATTTTGCTCACTATGGTTAGAAAAACATATCAAAATAATTTTCTCAGTGAATTATCATCTTGGCAATGGAACGAATCTGTGAACGTTCTGTTCCTCATTGAGGCACAGGACAAAGCGGGCAGAAGGAACCTCAAAATTACCTGGTTCTATCTCTTGGAAAAGCACAGACACACTCAATTTTGTTAACCATTCTGGTTAAATTTTTATCTAAGTCACGTGAAAACTTCCCAATAATGAAGATTCCATCACCAGGTAATACACTAGGCTCTTTTGAAGTCAGCAAACCCTACTGTTATTAGTCATTCTTAGCCAGAATTGTGTTCTATTCTTCTTCATAACTTAGCCTACTTTTGCCTTCAATGACTTAAGATTTCTTGCTTTTCTACAACCGGAAAAACCAGAGTGGGAGAAGCTAAGACTGCCACATTGAGCATGGCACAGTTAAAAGTGTTGGCAAGAATCATGCTATGATGACCAGAAATAATTTAAATGACTCGGAATAATTTGCCACTTGGGAAAATTTTCCATTGCACACCTTAATGACTTTAGATGTTAGACCTTTATGTCAACCCTAATGGGGTTTGAGAAATTGGGGAATAATACTGGGGAATAATAATCTCTATTACAAGCTGGTAGTGAACGTATTAAAAGGTGTCCTCCCTTATCAATAATCAGGGAAATGCAAATTTAGATCACAATGAGATAGCATTTTTCTCACCCATGTAACTATTGACTACTGTAATTTAATTCTGACAGTCCCAAGGGTTATAAGGATGGAGAATGACCAGAATTCTTATGGTAGGAATGAAAATTGGGAAAACCACTTTGAAGAAAAACTGGCAGTGGCTAGTGATCTAAAAATTCATTTACTTTTTCATCTAGTGACTTCACTATGAAGTCACATCTACAAGAAAGTTAATTTCAGCATTCACTGCTTCAATAAATGAACACAATCTAAAATCTCTTAATAGCTGACTAGATAAATCATGCTACAGTCATACAACAGAATTCTAAGCACACATCAATTTTTCACTCTCACAACAAAATGCTAAACAACAAAAAAGGAAACAAAAAATGCTGCATATTGACACCATTAAAAAAATTTTCAAAAAATGCAAAGATAAATTCAAAGATGCATGCATATGAGGTAAAATGTGAAGAAACAACATGTAATTAATAACACTAAAATTAAGTACCTCTACCAGGAGGATGAGATTGAAGGAAGGACACAAGGGCCTCAACTCTGTCAGCATTTTATTTCTTAAGTTGATTATTGGGTATACAGAAGTTTATTATAGTCTTCTCTATATACTTCATTATTATGAAACATTTCCAAAAAACTTTAAGAAGAGTGGTTTTCTTACTTTTGGAATATAGTTAACTAGTTTCTTTCAATTCCCTTCCTTCCAAATCAGTTTCCTCTAGTTTTTAAGATCAGCTAATAGTAGCAGAATTTAGTGAGCGCCAACTCAAGTGAACTAGATGAATTCTAAAATTCCATGGTCAAGTAACAGGCACCATGTTTGTCTCCTACCATAAACTAGACATATGTACTAAATATAGAAATCAATTTTTCATATATTGGGCTTTTCCCCTCTGTAATCAGCCAGAGAAACCTGTTTTTTTTTTTTCCCATTTATTTTTATTAGTTGGAGGCTAATTACTTTACAATATTGTAGTGGTTTTTGCCATGCATTGACATGAATCAGCCATGGATTTACATGTGTTCCCCATCCCGATCCCCCCTCCCGCCTCCCTCCCTATCCCATCCCTCTGGGTCTTCCCAGTGCACCAGCCCTGAGCACCCGTCTCATGCATCCAACCTGGGCTGGTGATCTGTTTCACCCTTGATAGTAAACTTGTTTCAATGCTATTCTCTCAGATCATCCCACCCTCGCCTTCTCCCACAGAGTCCAAAAGTCTGTTCCTTTTAAAGGGCTCACATGATAAGATCAGGCCCACTGTGAATAATTCTCCTTGGCCATATAAAGTAATATAATTAAAGGAGTGATCATACTCACAGGATCTTCCAAAACCCTGTGGGAGGAGATTATGCAGATGTGAGCATCACTGAGGGTCATTTAAGAATTCTACCCCCCATAAACACATTCTCAAGAGCCCAATTAGGATATACAGATATTCAAGTTCTGACCAATCAGAGAGGCCTTATAGACTTCAACAGGCCTTCAGTAGAGACCCAAGACACTTAATACTTAAACAGCAGTGCTAAGATGGCCCTGGAATAAAAGTGACTCTAGATCTAACCCAACAATACTTAAAAACAAGCCTCAAAGAAAAAACAATCAGGCTGACCTATGAATAACTTAAACACTTGCAAATATAAAATTCTATACTCCTTAAAGGAGGAGAACAAAATCCAAACATTTAACAATATCCAGCATCCAATCAAAAATTACTAGACATGCCAAGAAACAGAAAGTCCTTTAACCAGGAGAAAATGAATTAAATAAAAATAGGTACAGAAATGACAGAAATACTGGAATTAGAATACAAGAACATTAAACAACTAAATTAAATAAAGTCAAGAAGTTAAATGAAAACCATGAGAGAAAAAAATGTAAAGAATCAAACTGAACATTAAAAGTGAAGAAGATATTACCTGAAATTAAAAAGTCAGTGAATGGGAATAACAGATTAGCCACTACAGAAGAGAAGATTTAAAATTGAATACACAGCAAAAATAAACTATCCAAAATGAATCAAAAGAAAAAAAAAAGACTAAAAATTAACAGAACCTCACTGAACTGTGAGAAAATATCAAGCAATCTAATATACATGTATTAGAGCCCTGAAGAAACAAAAGGTCATGTAAAAAGAATCTGTGAAGAAATAATGGCTGATGTGTTCCCAAATTTATTGAAAACTATAAACCCACACGTACAAGAACCCAAACAATGGAGCCCATACAAAAAAACTACATCAGCATAGTGCAGTAAACTGCTGAAAATCTGTGAAAAAGAGGCAATCTTAACAGTCACTACAGAAAATGGCATCGTGTACAGAAAAATAAAGACTAAAAATATCTCAGACTTCTAAAACAAAAAAAGCCAGAAAACAGTAAAATTATAGCTTTAAAGTTCTTAAGGGGAAAAACCATCAAAGGTGAAAGATTTTTTCAGACAAATAGACAAATGGTGACAATAGACTTTCACTAAAAGAAATGTAAAAGGAATTGAGACTATGATACCAAACATAACTTCAAATTTAAACTAAGCAATGACAATTGCTAAAATAGTAAACATGTGGATAAACATAAAAGATTTATCTTCTGATTTGTTTTATTTTTAAAAGATAAATGACTATGTAAGGCAAAAATATAACAATATATTGTGAGGTTTTAAACATATTTGGAAATAAAATTATGACAACCAAAGCACAAAAGGTAAGAGGGGAGGAAGAGAAGGCATGCTGCTGCTGAATTCTTAGTTACATATAAAGTGGTGTAATATTATTTGACGGAAGACAGTGACAAGTTAAAGATGCATATTATAAACCCTACAGCAACCACTCAAAGAATGAAATAGAGATCTTTAGCTAGTGTACTGGTTTTCTGTGCTGAGAGACAAATAACCACAGACTTAGTAGCTTAACACACAAATTATTAGTTTACAGTTCTTTAGGTCACAAGTCCAGGCAAGTCTGTCTGGCTTCTATCCTCAGGGTACCACAATAGCAAACGTACAGTGCTGACCAAGTTGGGCTCTTATTTGGAGGTTCAAGAAAAGGATCTACTCTCAAGCCTTGAGTCTTAGCTCTTTTACACTATAAAGCCGAAATTCACATTCTCTTGTTAGCTGCCAGCCAGAGTCACTCTCAGCTCCTTCTATCTGCTCTCCGATCCATGTACAATGGCTCCCTCCATACTCAAATCCAGAATATCAATTACTCTTTATGCTTTAGATCTTTCTAAATCTCTCTTCTGTTTTCCTCTTCTGGCCTGAAAAAGCTTTCTAATTTTAAGGGCTCATGTGATAATAAGGTCAGGCCGACGTGGA